TGCTTGCTTCAGTGCCTGGCTGCCGGCCGCCATCTTGGCTGACAGTTAATTTGCATATACTCACTGATTAGCCAATGAAAAGGGTAGCGGTCGTACGCTAATTACCATGTTTCTCTTTTATTAGTGTAGATACTTTTTTTGCCTCTTCTTCTGCCCCTCCTGTTATACTGTCTTAGCTAGGCATCTGGGTATGAATCTAATGCAGACACTTGGCTTCTTGTCTTTAGAAGTTATTGTCCTTTCATAATCAGCCGGTTGCTGATGAATTGTGTATATATTGGGATCATGGAAGTTGAGTATAGAGAATTGAATCAGGACAGGCCAGGAGATGGGTTTTTGAATATCAGATGACCAGAGAGAAATCACATTGACAGCAACGTGGCTTTATTCAACTACAAGTTGAAGACTTAAACACATTTTTTTTTTAACCAGAAAATTTCCAATGGTTGTTTTTTTTACTTTCCCAGTTTAAGTTAATCAGAAGCTTAAGTTCTACTATATTCTTATGGCTTGGCTTACAACTGATGATTACCATGGAGTTAGGGTACAGAGCATTCTTTTGGGTAAAATAACTCATTTGGGAGTTTTAGTGCACTCTAGCTTGTTCCCCCACAGGATGACTCCTAGTGACCTTACCTGGATCATTATCTGTCATTGAGGTTGTTATCTTCTGGAGATTATATCTTATACCTTGAATTTCTCTACATTATGTAGTCTTCCGTGATTGAAAGAGGTTATTATTTTTCATTCTTACATGATACTTTCTAAATACAAACCTGGAATGCTTTTTAAAAAATTAGACCACTAAGATATTCACTTGGGTATTTAATCAAAGGGGATATACTAGAGTACATAACATTATATTTATCTGTAATGTTGTTTGTTCTGTTTTTCAGATGCTTGCCTATGTAATGCTCCTCTCTCTTTGATTTTTTTAAGCTCCAAAGGATAATGGAGTGTGTTATTTTCCTCCTTATCAGTTGCCTAAAGGAAGCCAGTGCCTGATTATTTATTTGATATTGCGTGATAGATTTATAATTAGTCTAATAGCATATTGGCCAAAAAATCATCTTTTAATTATAAAACATGTACTAAATACTGTTTTTTTGTGTGTTTCTTTTTGTACCTGGAGTGGTCCTGGGAAATGAGGAAACATAAGTGAATGAGACATGGTTCTTCATCATGAGAGGATTTCATGGAGCAAATCAGATTTTCTTAAAATAATGAGCTTCCATTGATTTCTTTATTACAAAGACATGAAAGAAATTAAACAACCCAGGGTTCTCTGTACTTCAGAAGCTATCTGTAGGCTGTTGTTACTACAGAGTGACATTAGAGCAAATCACATTTGATTGCTAATGTTTAGACTTTTGAACACTAGAATATAAAATTAAAAAATAATCAAGAGATTTCATTCACACATGTCTGGAATGGCCAGAAAGTTCAATGGGACATATCTTTGACCTATCACTGAAAGCATTTTCTATGGTGTGCTACATTTCTTATCCCCTTGTATTTTTAGATATCAAGAAATGAGAAAATGTGGAAAATTTGGTTTGATAAGGAAAACCCTGAGGAGGAACCTCTTCCAAATGCCTATGATAAATCTCTTGACTGCTTTAGACGCCTTCTTCTTATTAGATCCTGGTGTCCTGACAGAACCATTGCCCAGGTAACCATTAACGTCCCTGTTAAAAAAATAAAAGAAGCCTGGCTGGCGTGGCTCAGTGGTTGAGCATCAACCTATGAACCAGGAGGTCACATTTCGATTCCCAGTGGCACATGCCTTGCAGACTCCATCCCCAGTGTGGGGGAGAGGGGGTGTGCCGGAGACAGCCAGTCAATGATTCTCTCTCATCATTGATGTTTCTCTCTCTCTCAGTCTCCCTTCCTCTCTGAAAATCAATAAAAATATATTATAAAAAATTAAAAGACTATTTTTAAGGAGGCTGTTCTTTTAAATTTAAAGACATATTTAAAATGTTAATCCCAATGAGAATTTTTCGTAGTCTTGCATGTATTTTTCTAGCAATAGAATGTGAAAAATGGAAAAATAAATGAGGAATAAATGTACCGAGGTATACATTTAGGCTAAGCGATTTAATAATATTCTTTGGCCCAAACGGTACAAGAGTGAATGTTTTCAAGATTGGTGTGTAGGTATAGCATAAAGGTAATGTCTTATTCTTCTGTATCATTTTTTATATTAACATTGCAGACCAGTAGTTTTATTGCTAGCTTTATCCAGTGGCCAGATAAGTTTCTATTGAACAAGTACAAAAAACGTTTTATATAAATGTTAAAGGCACGCTTTAAAATTAAATACCCATTGCATTTTGAAGTTATTTATTGCATGTTCTTACAAGCTAATATCTTTTTAAAGAATTCTCGTGATTGGCCACAAGCCTTAGAACAGAAAACACGAGGATTCTCCTGACCGTCCACAACGTGTTAACTCAAAAATGATATGTCTGCTCCATTTTGCTAGTAGTAAAACAATGTCCCCTTAAGTAGGAAGAATGTGAAGTTTCTAGGGAGAAGAGAGACTAGAGGGGAAGCATAGCATTCCCAAACTTGTGTTCATTTCCCCAGAAAGTGTCACAGCCCTTGATGCAAGGAAGTAGGCTGGCCTAAACATTTTGAAATTGTATATATTTTACATATGGTTTAAATGTGACTCCTACCCCCAAAAGATCCACCTTTTTAAAGACCTTTAATCTGCTGGTCTATTATCATGGACATTTACTCCCTAAAAAGAGTCATCGTATTTTGCCTTCACAATTAAAAGCTTAACTAATATTCCGCATACATTGATTCTTCGAGGGTTTCTCCAAGTAAGCCAAGGGGTAACATAGGCAGGGTTTATAACAGAATGTAGGAAACATTCCCCTTCACTCTCCAGAGGGAGTGTTTAAACATGGAGTAACCATCTCCATGTCCACTAGATACTGTGCAATAATGAAACAACTAGATTTGATGATTTATTGAGAAAAGGAAAAGGGGTTTTGCAACTCAGGACACTGAGATCACCTTTCCTTCCGTTTTTGTCCTCAACTTCATTACTTTTATTCTGTCCAAATGAATTGTAAAACAGTTGCCTTATTTAAGGGCAGTGTAGAAGGTTCAAGTAGTTCCCTTCTCTCTCTCTCTTTCTCTCTCTCTCTCTCTCTCTCTCTCTCTCTCTCTCTCCTTTCTTTTTATGATTATTATTTTAAATGGTCCAATGCTGAAATTTAAGCCTTCCATGCTCCTTTGTACCTTCATCCTGGCTCTGACATCCATAGGCTGATGGTAGCCATGACTTCCTAACTGGTCTCCTATAGTCACTCTTGTCCACTCTACTCCATCCTGTATATTCCAGAAGAAATGGAAATATGATTATGTTTTTCCTGTAATGGCTTCCCATGGCTCTTATGGTCTTTAAAAGGTCAAGAAGTCTCCTCTGGAAGAAGGCCCCCCCCCCTCAAAAATTCTTATTCTTGGATTAGACTCCTTTTGTAGTATTCAATCAGATACCTTTTTTGGGAAGCATAATAGAAGGTCTACAATGTAGACATATTCAATTTCCATTCCCTATAAGCAGCATCAGGCTCACTCTCAGCATTTCCTCTAAGCATGATTGCTCACCTCAGGGAATATTCAATTGCCTGGTTGCAAAAATGATGCTCTGTCAGAGTTTCCACTTTCTCATATGTAAAATAGGGATCATAAAATCTATCCAGGATGATTGGAATAAATTTTAATCAAAATAGTGTATTTAATAGTAATAATGAATGTAATAATTATTGCGTATCAATTTGAAAACATACAAAGAGGTTTTGGGGTTTTTTTTTGGAGTTGGAAGGATGACAGCAGTGAAAAAAGATTACCAAATGAAAAAATAGAAAATATATCATTATAAACGTCTCTGCCCTCTAATCGGCAGGGTTACTGTGGACATCATTGAGATAATCTATACAAATGAATTTTGGAACCCACCCTGCATTGTACACGTAAAGGAGTTAGAACTAGTTTTGGTGACTGGTGTACTATTTTGGCAGGCCCGCAAGTACATCATGGACTCCATGGGAGAAAACTATGCCGAAGGGGTCATCCTGGACTTGGAAAAGACGTGGGAGGAATCTGATCCACGGACACCACTCATCTGTCTCCTGTCTATGGGCTCAGATCCCACGGATTCCATCATCGCCCTGGGGAAGAGATTAAAAATAGAAACCCGTTATGTGTCCATGGGCCAAGGCCAGGAGGTCCATGCTCGCAAACTCTTGCAGCAGACTATGGCAAACGTGAGTCCAATGTCTACATTTGTGTTATGTTGTTGACATTACAGGTTATAGAGTAGCAATTACAGACAAGAACATATGACTTAAGAGTTTAAATTTACATACTGCATGATAAATTTTAAACTTTTTCTGCTGAGCCTTGACTTATGGAAAACTTACCCCACTGAACATCTTATTTCCTAACCAGCTTGCATAATGCTAACCCCTACTCCAGATCCCAAACCATGAGTGAGGTCCACAGCTCTGCCCCCTCTGCTATACACTGCAGCCCCTCCAGCTCCACTCTCGGAATCTTCAGAACTCCAGAATCTACCTGTGCCTTCCTTGAGTTGCAGAATGCACAACGGAGTCCCCCAGGCATGGCCCAGATCCCAAAGAGGCCAGGAATCTGCCATCACCCTGCAGTGGTGCCAGAGGTTCTAGGGCTCCTAAAGCCCTTCATGGATTTTAAACTCTAGTATGAAGAGTAAAGTGCTCAGGAATGGCCTGGGAGCCACCAAACACTGGAAAGCCCTTGACGACCCTGCTAATGGGACAGTTAAGTCTAGAGTTGGGGCACTTTCAAGGACTTAAGTTAACAGGATGCTAAAGGTCCTCGATTTCATTTCTAGACCTGGGCTCCAGGACAAGGCACTCATGTGTTTACTGTGGTCTGGCCCCCTCTGGGGTGTCCAGCTCAGCCTGGAGGATCCTTCCATCCTTGTTCCCCTCTCCTCCACTTTGGCTAAGTATGGTGGGGGCGCAGAACCACTTGGCTTCTCATTCCTACTAGAGAACATGCAATCTGAGTTAAGATTCCTTTCTGGCCTTTTTATGGACCTGACCTTAGTCCTTTTTCTTTGAGTCTGATGATCCCCCCTATCTCAAGACTCCTGTGCCCTCCAGGGTCTCCCTTGATGGGGCAGGACTGGCTTTCTTACCTTCCAACCCCAAACCTCTGGGCTTACCATGAAACCACTGGGCTCTAGGTCCTGACTGCTGAATCCAGAACCTCACCACTGTGCTGCATCTAGTCCCTTTCCTCTGGTCTAGAACTAAGGCCACTGGGTTTTAGAACCTCCATATTTACCTCGAGGCTCTACCATCCCCAGGCTGTGCCCTTTCCCAGTTTTGGTGAAAGGGGAGGGGCCCTTAGGTGGGTTGTGCTATGTCTAATGACCTTAGTTTGCAGTTGGGAGGCTGAAGGGGTCTGATTGAAGTGTTTCTGGAGAAGAAAAAGAATTCATTTGTATTTAAGAATCATGTATCTAGTCTGACATAAGGGCTTGGTAGGCCTTGATCCTGGCCTCTTTCTCCTCTTCCCTCCCTCCTCTCTACTTTTTTTATTCATCCTTGCATACACTCCTGTACTTAGAACAAAAACACTAACATTAACAGGGCACTTCTTGAATTAAACATTTAATTGTGTAACTAATAATAATATGGTTTCAGGCAACTAAATTAGAATTTAAATGGGATATTTTTAGCCTTTATTTTATCCATGTTTTGTTTAGCAGTTTAAAGTAAAATTTAAAAAGTCTTTAATTTTAGCATGCTTATAACTTGTCAGAGTCAATAGCTTTTTAAAAGTTTTGTAGGAAAGGTTCAAGACATTATGACAGAATGAACCAACTACCCAATAGTAGCAAAATGAATGATCCATAAGAACTCAAAACATTTAATATAGAATGCAGCAATACAAAGCAACCTTGGCTACGGGATTCTGTAGGCAAATATTGAAACAGCAAAGTTCTCACATAAGAAACTTTATATTTGATTTCTTTTTGTTTCGAATTGGTGGGCAGTGTCAATTAGTTTTTAAATGACAAAAATAGTTTATTCAGTACATGCTATTACTTCTGAAGAAAATATAAGGGAATATATCAAATTCCAAAAGGATCAATTTATATATAACTACTAAGATTTTAGATCTAGTGCTTGGTTTGCTCCTTGGAAAGAGAAATAGCTCAGGCTGCACTACTCAAAACTAAATGATCCAATGCTACTGAGTCAAGAAAACAATTCAGGATTATGATCGGGATATTGTAGGTAATATTAGCAAAAACATTCTATGGATGAGATAGTGAGTCAATTATTATTGCATGACTTAAATTTTACCTGCACTGCTTTATACAAGGACTATTCTTATGCTTATAGAATAATTTATGGAAAAGATATGGCTTATTTTCTCAGGCTCTTATTCTTAGAATGGTCAAATTCCCCGGAGAAAGTTCTTTCACTTCCTAGAGGGTATATGCCCAGCTATCAGTACTCTGGGAGGTCAGCGGCAGACAGAGGGGTAGGTCTCAAATCAATGGGTAAATTTTCTTTCACCTGTTTTCAGTGAGGTTCCTATGCCCTTAACGTGCTGATGTCCTCCAGTCAAATGCTGTCTGTTTTGCCTTTTAAAGAAAATTGGCTTTTCATCTTTCTTTAGGTGAGACCGGAACGTGTCCGGGGTCTGGACTTCCAATCTTGTGTTAGCCCAGTGGTTCTCAACCTGTGGGTCGCGACCCCTTTGGGGGTCGAACGACCCTTTCACAGGGGTCGCCTAAGACCATCGGAAAACACATATATAATTACATATTGTTTTTGTGATTAATCACTATGCTTTAATTATGTTCAATTTGTAACAATGAAAACACATCCTGCTTATCAGATATTTACATTATGATTCATAACAGTAGCAAAATTACAGTGATGAAGTAGCAACAAAAATAATTTTATGGTTGAGGGTCACCACAACATGAGTAACTGTATTAAAGGGTTGCAGCATTAGGAAGGTTGAGAACCACTGTGTTAGCCCATCTTCTTCTCTGACTTCCAGAGGGGCCTCTTGTCACCTGTTCTTGAGTGTCTTGGGAGTTATGCAGTGAAAATCAGGTCACACCTCAGCTTGCCCTGAATGTCCATTGAAGATTCAGCTTCCTTGAGCTCATTTTAAATGTTATCAATATTGTCTTCACCTTCACTGTTTTTGTCCTTAAGAGTTCATGCCTTTAAAAAAGTCCCTTCACTGTAGTTTTCATGGGATGTGGGGAAAGAGCTGAGCTAAACAGATATTTTCAATCAAGCGTCTTTACTTACCAGTGCTATTATCTCTTTTTATCTTCACTTTGGTTATTTTCATGCTTCTACTATATATTATTACAACTGGCCTGCTGAATGTGGGACCAGTACATGGAACAAGAAAATATATAACTATCTCAATGAAACATTATTGCACTCTTAGATTTGACCTACATTAAAGTACTGTGTTTTTCTGTTAAATTTTAATTACTTAATTTTTAAAGAATGCACTAATTTAATCTCTGGGAAAAACACAAAATAGGTTGTTTCCATTCACTGTTGTTCACTCAGGGAGGATGGGCACTTCTGCAGAACTGCCACCTAGGACTCGATTTCATGGATGAGCTAATGGACATGGTTACAGAAACTGAGATGGTACACGCTGCTTTCCGCCTGTGGATGACCACTGAGGTTCATAAGCAGTTTCCCATCACACTCCTGCAAATGGCCATTAAATTTGCCAATGAGCCTCCGCAGGGCCTCCGGGCAGGGCTGAAGAGAACGTATGGCGGTGAGTGGAGGAATCCTTCCAAGTTCACTGGAGTTCTTGTACTTAGATTGTTTTATTAAAGAAATTGTAAAAACAGAATCAGCTAGGATATAGTTAAGCAAATAGTACTGTCATTTATGTGATGAGTTACAGATGGCCCCTTGTGCGGGTACTATGGAACACGACCTGGCAGTGGTAGGTGTAAGAACTCAGAATTCCCACCTTATTTTTTCTTGTGTTCCCCATATTACTTTACTTTGGCCTGTACTGTTCTCTACTAGACAGCTGCCTTTCTTTATGTTAATATCTAAATTTTATATCTTTGTCATTCATGGTCTTTGGGCTCCAACCCTGAAGTAGGACAGTAGCCTCTTCCAGGAGGAGAGGCTGAGTTAAAGTCATGGCCTGCCATGATTTCATGAAACCACATGGCAGAATGTCAGAACCATAGCTAAGTTAGAAATCAAACAAAAGCAGCAGAACCCAACTAACATGCCCTCCATTCAAAACCAGAACCGAGAGTATTCTCTCTGCCTTGGCTTCCTCTGTTCATGGCTCCCTATCTGGACTCATGGTCATGGAAAGTTCCTGGCCCTCAGAGTCAGAAATCTGTTTCTGGTTCTCTCTGAACAAAATGCTTTGTTCTTTTGGGTGTTAGTCACTCAGATAACCAGTTTCAGTTTCCTCATATGTAAAATAGGGACAATAAAATCTATCTATGATGATTAGAATATAGTGTACTTAATAATAATGAATATGATAATAATTCTCTATCAATCTGGAAAAATCTACAGAGTTTTTTCTGGAATTGCTAACAAGACTCAAATTCCTGCCAATTTATAAGGTAATATGGGGATAAAGTGGATTTGGTAGGGTGATGACAGTGAAAAAAGATTACCAAACGAAAAAACATATGATTTTATATGTATAATATAGATACATACACAGTGATCATAATTATTATTTCAATAATACATTCAGTTTGAAATGGGCTTCTATATATAGTATTAACAATTTAATATTAATTAAAATAGTGTATGCACATGCTCCAAATAATAATGTAAAAATTATTATTATTATTATTATTATTATTATTATTTAGTAGTAGTGGTAGTAGTAATAG